TTTTTTTTTTTCTTCAATTGATTCGCGTCGATCGGGGGAACAATCTCGCAACCCCCATTGCCCGATTAACCCCTAGCGGTGGCTGCTCAATCGACGGACACTGTTTTCTTCCCCCTCGAGGCGATCGAACGGTCTTCATTTCCTGATTAACGCGCCAGCCCCCCCCCCTCCCCGTACCCCCTCTGTCCCCCTTCTCTCCCGCCTATCTCTATCTCCTCGAATGTAAAAGAAGAGAGTGCAGCCGGAAGTAATCTGTCTTCCTCTCTGCTCGTGGCGAGGCGCTCTCGCGAAAGGAGAGGATAAGAGAGATAGAGAGGTAGAGGGGGAAAGCCGAGAGAGAGAGAGAGAGAGAGAGAGAGAGGATAGAAGGACAGAAAGAACGTCCGCTCGAATTCACTTGGAGTGATTTAAAGGCTGGAATTATCCTTTTCTCCCCTTCCTCGAGAGTATTCTCCTTCTCTCCTTGCTAACCATTATATATCTTCTGTTGCGTGCTCCTCCCTTGATTCTTTTATATCGCAACGCGGATGATCCTCCTTCTCCTCCGTCTACTCCTTTTTCTTTTCTCGTCTCGTCCGCGGGAGGAGAGAGAGAGAGAGACTCCTCTCTTTTAACCACGTGTTTCTGCACGATTACGGGGAGAGAGGGAAAACACAGGGAGGAGAAGAGATTCTTTTCCTTTCTTTTTTTCTCTCTCTCTCTCTCCTTATCATCAACCAATCTGTATCTGCTTTTGCAGCAATCAGAGGGGCCGGTAGTCTCGTAATTTCACATCGTCCGATATATCACTCCGACTTATCTTCAGCCGGGCTCGTGGTAGCCGGTACATCGATAAAGAAAAAAAAAAAAAAAAAAAAAAAAAAAAAAAACAGAAAACACGTTTTTTCTTTTCGTTTATTGGCCGCGCTCTTACGAGGCCGTGACACCCGTGTCTTTTTATCAAGTAAAATATTAATAAGCTGTTCCGCTGTTTTGCGTCAAATCTCGCAACTCCGTGACGAGCTTTTCATTAACCGTAGACGGATATTAGGTCGCTCGATATCTCTTCGAAATAAAATCACGTTTGTCTCCCTGCCTCGGCGTTCACAATCGAAACGGCCGATAGTGAAACGGCAAAGCCAGGAGAGTCCGAGTTGTCGTAGGAGCTGAATTTATAATTCGTCAATCGACCGGCTACCTGCCACGTGAAAGGTTTCGAAAGTTTTTCCGGGTGTCGTGGAAAAAAAAAAAAAAAGGGGAAAGACCGCAAAAGCCAACGGTAGCACCGAAAGTAAACTTTATAGTGCCTGCGGCGGCGGCCGAATCTCTTTCTCCTTTTTCGCCCCCGACCCTTTGCAACTTTCCGTTCCCCTTTTCCTGCCGTCCTTTTCCCAAAGAATATCCAGGCCATACAAGATGTTGCATGTACAAAGAAAAGCGCAAGACTTTCACTAATATATGTAGGTATATTATTGCATCAATGCTTTCTCTGTTGTACATTCATTATGCTTTGAGATATCTCAATAACAGTTGTACGTATTCAGAGTTTCGCAACAACTGCGGAAATGCAGATTTATCTTTTAATAAACAAACGCAACTTGAATAGAAATCGGTATTCTCCAATTTGAATATTTGGTACACTTTTGTATATTTTTGGATTCCGTGTATTCTCGCGTCTTTGAATTTCCCATAAATGCATGAATATCCACAGTCTAGTTGCCTGGGTTTGATTTAGAGAGAGAGAGAAAAAAAAACGAGTTCCTCCAGTTTTATACGACTGGAGTAAATTAACGTTGCAAACTCACACGTGAAGAAAAGACGCGATTTAATCAACATTTTGCTCTGCATGTTTGATTCTTGACGTGATTTAATCCAAGACAGTATTTTTCGAAAAATCTTTGCGACGAATAAATAAAACGCGGAGATGCAACCTATGAGCATTTTTTGCTTGTGTCTTTCAGACTTGTCTCTGCTTCGTCTTCTTTCGTCTCGACAAACCTGAACGCTTTTTTTCGACCAGTAAGAGGGAAAAAGTGGGTAGAAAAGGCGCGGATTTTTTTAACTGACGAACTAACAACAAATGCGTTGCCTTTTTTTTTCACAGGAGAGAAGACGTACGAGTTAATCG